ACATATATATATATATATATATATATATATATATATATATATATATATATATATATATATATATATATATATATATATATATATATATATATATATATATATATATATATTGGTAACAGACTGTTGTTAACGCAACATTTCAAAAATTCAACACTACTTTCAACATTGTTCAACTTTTTTATATTTCTTTTTAATTTATTGATGTCAGAGAAATTAGACATTTTATTGTTTTTTAAAAATTTTTATTAAATAAATTTGCGAATAGCTATTTCGAGTTATAGATAACTCATCTTCCGTGCATTATATATAAGGTATGTAAGATATTAGATAAGAAGGAACAAGTACTTATTAATTTATATAAATTATTTAATTAAAACAGAAAACCAATAAAATAAATTTAATAACATTAAACAATATAAAACGCGATTTTTAAAATTTTTTTTAAATTTTAACGGCATGATTGTTTATATTATGGTTGTTAAGGTAAATATCAACGTTCAGCCGAGAGCGTTGATATTAAAATATGGACGCGTCAATCAAATTGTTAAGTGAGTCGATTGATGAAAAATCTTTAAATGAAATCAACTTCATCAAAGAACGCCATCGAGACCATTGATTCCAACGAATTAGGAAAAAACTTAGCAATTTATATCGCGGACCAGTTTTTTTGCCACAACACCAAGATCATTTCCTAAATCTTAGTAGCCATCAGTTGACAATAGATGAAAAACAATTTTTGAACCTCGGCTTAAATTGTCACCTCATAAAAAACAAACCACAAATAAATAAACATATTGAGATTGAGATGTTGATAAATGAAATTTGGAAACAAGAACAATTAGGAAATGTGAAGGTAAATCAACAATTAGCCAATGAATTATTAAGTGAATCTAACAAAAGACGAAATTCGTGTATTTGCAAATTGTTGACGAACGAATTGAAAGTTGCTGCTAAAAATTTAAAAACTAATTCTCGGCTGAGCGTTGATATTTACCTTAACAACCATAATATAAACAATCTTGCCGTTAAAATTTAAAAAAAAATTTTTAAATCGCGTTTTATATTGTTTAATGTTATTAAATTTATTTTATTGGTTTTCTGTTTTAATTAAATAATTTATATAAATTAATAAGTACTTGTTCCTTTTTATCTAATATCTTACATACCTTATATATAATGCACTGAAGATGAGTTATCTATAACTCGAAATAGCTATTTGCAAATTTATTTAATAAAAATTTTTAAAAAACAATAAAATGTCTAATTTCTCTGACATCAATAAATTAAAAAGAAATATAAAAAGTTGAACTATGTTGAAAGTAGTGTTGAATTTTTGAAATATATATATATATATATATATATATATATATATTTCATATATATATATATATCAATCGATCAATCTTTGTTTAGCGTCCAGAGACCCAGTTCCCCCGAGGTAGGACGTTGTTTTCTTTGCCATCAGTTTACTGCGCCAAATTATACGATCAGTTGTATCCATTTCATTTAAATTTAGAGCTTTCATGTCTTGCTCGATTGTTTGCGACCAGGACTTCTTTGGACAGCCTTTGGGACGTGTGCCAGGTACTTCAACATCTGCAAGAGAAGTTATGGCACTGTTTCCACTTCGTTTGATATGATCAAACCACCTCAGACGGTGTGCCGGCATTCGTACTTTTTATCATCTAGACCAGCACGACGCAGGATATTTCGGTAGATTTGATGTGGTTCTTCTGGCTTATTCGTTGCATCCATTGGAGAATTTTCATGTCGGTTCGTTAAAGTTGTTGATGCAGTTTGGTTTCTCTACCTTAATGGCTTCAAAAACATTGCTATTTCGAATTTGTTGTTGTGGATTGATGCAAGCAGGACAAACAAATGGACACTTTAGATAAAGTACAAATTATTTTTGAACAACGTTTGTGACACCACTGGTTACACTGCTGACACCTGATTGACACCAGTTACCTACATCAGCTTTACAAACTGAACTAGGCCATCGTCCAGTAGCTGTGGATTAGATGGGTTCACCAGTGTTCATTGCTTTGGTTTTGTTGATGTTTGATTTTGAATCCATGATCGGCGAGTCTGGTGTTCCAATCTTTAAACACCTGTGCTGCATTCTGCTCAGACGTGGCTGTTAAAACGATATCATCAGCATATACTAGATTCCAAATGTCACCAGTGCGTGTCGGTTTTGTGATTTCTTCCATCACAGTTATAAATAACAGTGGACTGAAAATCGAGCCTTGGTGAACTCCAACGCCGATGTCAAATGCATCTGTGTTACCAACCGTTGTGCTGACGAGAGTCTTAGTATTCGTATACATTTCCATCACAAGTCGAACAAGATATTCTGGAATGAGTTGTTGACGTCGACTCCACCTGATTGCTTCACCGGGAACTCGATCAAATGCTTTTCAAGTCTACAAAAATGTGTTGTAGTTGTTGATGCTTTGCCAGGTACTTCTCTTGCAGTTGCCGAAGGATGTGAATTGCATCAATTAATGATTTCCCTGCTAGAAAACCAAATTGATAATTTTCGATCGTGATGCACGACGTTAATCTTCTCTCAATGATTTTCTCGACAATTTTCAGGGAGTGCTCTAACAGACGCATACCTCGATATGATGAACAGTTCAATGTATCACCTTTGCCTTTGTATAGCTGAACTGTCATGCTATAGTTCCATTCAGTCGGCATTGAGCAATTTCTCCAGACTTCACAGCAAAGTTGTAACGTTTGGATACCTGCAGTACCAGATGCTTTGATAATGTCATTTGTGAGTCCAGAGGACCCTGCTGCCTTCATAGCTTTCAGAGCTTCTACAGTGATGGGTGGAGCGTCAAAGTTGACATTGATGGAATTTGTTTCATTTAACAGACGGTTGAAGTATTCTCTCCACTGTAGCTTGATGTCATCTTGTTCAAGAACCATCTCATTTTTGTCGTTTTTGATACATGAGGCACCAACTATGTCTTTTTTCGTACGCTTAGCTTGTTTTGCTATACGATACAGAGATTTCATTTGTTCACCGCTCTTAGTGAGCCACTCTCTACACTGATCTGACCGAGCCAGACGTCTTGCGACTTCTTCTCACGGAAAATTTTATGGTCATCAAAAGACTTTGATTTTGCCATAGCTTGTATGCAACTTTCTTTTCAGCTATTGCATTTTGTACACTGTCATTCCACTACCAAGTGTCACGTTCATGCAGACGTTTTGTACCAGTTTTTCCACAAACTGTAGTTGCAGCGTTTATCAAAACGGTTTTGTATGTACTCCAATCTGTACTGGCTTGCGATTGGTGGTCTAACTGTGTGGCGACAATCTGTTGAAATTTTTCTCGATGAATATTGCTTTTCAGCTTCCACGTTTTGATTCTCCGAGGCATTTGTTTAGACTTATGTTGTGACAGTTCGACAACCAGGTCTTCCACAAGAATTTTGTTGGGCGACACATGATTCGCCAGGTATAACTTTGACATTTTTGAATAACCTTCGGTGTTGTTGCTTGACAGCGAAGAAATCAATTTGCGTGGCTGATGGTCCACTTTTGTATGTTATGAGATGTTCCAACCTCTTTCTAAAATATGTGTTCAATAAACAAAACCCGTGACTTTCAGCAAACTCAAGGATGCGGTTGCCATCTTCATTCCGTTCTCCATAGCCAAAACCTCCATGTACGTTGTCAAAACCATCTGTTTTCTCTCCAATGTGTCCATTGAGATTGCCTCCAATCATGATTGTTTCAGATTTTGGTATTGTTGAGATGGTGTCAGAGAATGCAGCCCAGAAGTCATTTTTCATCGCTTCTGGTTCGCCTGTCTGTGGTGCGTATGCGGAAAAAATAGTCATTGTTTGCTTTTCTAGGCGAAGCTTGATCCCCATGAGACATGAATTAATCCTTTTAATATCCAGTACTTCTTAGGCTAGCGGTTCCTTGACAAAAATTCCAACACTATTTTTGGCAGTCTTTTGACCATTCCAGAATAGTTTATATTTTTTATTGTCTGAGTTTATATGACAGACACCATTCGATTTCCATCGGGTCTCCTGAAGGCAATCCTTCTACGCTCAAGCATTTCTGCAATTTTCATGCTGCGGCCAGTCAGTGATCCAACATTGAGCGTTCCAAATCTAAGTACCATAGAGGGACCATTCTGAATTTTTCTGCAACATCCCTCCGCTATTGCATACTTCCCAGGGATTCTTAGCACCCCTTGACCACTTAAGGCCTGCTGGGGACTAGGGACCGTTGTTTTTGTTTTTGATGGCATAGAATAATTTGGTGTTTTTACATCCGGACAACCACCAGTTATAAGCGGTGGGCCTAGGCTTTTCCTCAAAAGCAAGCAAGGCAGTTTTATGTCATGCCCAGGACTGATCAACAGTAACAACCCAAATAATAATAAAAATAAATGGAATTAAAAAGTAAAATACCGTTAATAAGTTAGCTTTTAGTTAAGTTAACTTTAATGTACAATACCATAGACATAATAATATTTTTTTTTTTTATATAAAAGTGCCAATTTATAAAAATGTCAGTTATAGTGGGCAATTGAGAGATTTGCTTAAAACGCTTAGTCCCAATGCCTTTGTTTGTTGGGTTTATTTGTTTCTTATTGATTTCTTTTAAATTAGCTGTCAAAATTAATTAATTAATTAATTAAGTCTTTATGTCTAGAACGTTGATTACATAATAAAATATAATTTTTTTTATGCTTGTTTAACGTGTGATAAGTGCGAAACATTTTCACAATTTTGTAAAGATAAAAATTATTTCCTAGGTACTGAATTTGCAGATACTTCTACTCATTATTCTACTGAAGACAAACAAGAATGTATTCAAAGTTCTGACTCCGAATTCTACTAATAGGATTATAACCATTTTATTATCTTGTTCTTTTTCAGTAGCTCTTAATAAATTTATTTTTTTATTATTTTAGGGGTAATGTATTTAAATTAAAATGAGCATGCTATTTTGTTTTTTTTCTATTATTTTTTTTCCATTTTGGCTGCTTGTTATATAAGTTAATTAAAAATACAAATATTCTGTTTACTTCATTTTTTTTAATCTGTGTTTATTAAATTTTCTAAAAAAAATTTACGATCGTTTTACTGGATGGCCAATCAATACTGATCAATTCTGATCTCACAATTTTATTAAAATTTTTGCTCATTCTCTCATCTAAAATTGTGTATTTCTTGCTTTCTTTTGTTATTTTTGCTGATTTGTCTAAATAAGTGCTCACAACCGCCATTTTTTGTGTGGACATAACCTTTGAATATAATTATATACTTTTTAAAATCTTGTTGGATCAGCGCCTTGCCAACGCTAATTTGCTCACTCTCAAACTCCACGCATTAAAATAAATGATGAAAGGAAGGCTATTGATTTCGTTATTGTATTGCATGCTATTATTTTTTGCTAATTATCATTAATTATTTTTGTCTAATTTTAATAATTTTGTTTAATTGGATATTTTTATGCTTTGCTTTAATGACTTTCAATTTGTCTCTACCTTTGCAAAATATGCTGATTTCGTTAGTTTGCAAGATTATAAATTATATATTTCCATAACCAATTCGTTAGCATTTTAAGTTTTAAAATAAGACCGAACTCTTTCAAATTGTTATGATTTAGCTCGAGGAAACTTTTCTGGTTCGATATATTTCATCATTTTGTTTATCGATATATGCTTTTTTTATTCGTTTACTTCGATTTGTTCATATATTTACTTAAACGAAGGCTTCCTGGTTCGCCAGCTTGCTCACATTGGAACATTTCCAACCGATAAATTTTTTGACTTTGGTAAGAACAGAGATATCATTTTCTAAAGTTTACTTATTTCTGTTCCCCAATAGCTGTAGTCAAATAGGAATTAGAAGATGACCTTGGGGTATCCTAAAGCTGAGCATGTGATCTTTGGAATTTTTATAGGAATTTCCAAAGTAAACTAAACCTTAAGTAATAAAACGCCAGTTAAAATCTGTTGTTTTGTACAGCGTTAGCGGGTCTCCGATTGACGAGGTTTTTGGCGTTGCGTTTCGAACCAAAGATTAGTACTGTACAGAATACAGCATGATGCATAAGAAATAGTTTTAGTTATTAAATATTAATAAAATGTTAATTAACTTCAATTTATTAAAAAATGCCGCCAAACCTTGAAAGATACTACAGGGTGGTTAACAAATAGTTTAAATTTTTGAAGCTTTATTCCGTATGACATCATGTATGAATGCATCCTGAGCGTTGACTTCATGATAATTTACGGATTTAACTTTGAATTTGAGACGTAATAATAGGTAGAATCGAAGAAAAGTGTTTTCAGGTAAAGGTTGGTGGCAAGGTCGTATTTAGTGGAGGGGGGGGTTTACGGGTTCAAACCCCCCTCCCCCCGAAATTACGAAAATTATAAAAATGAAGTAAAAATTACGTGTGTGATTTAAAAATATTTATATTTAATAAATTTTTTGTATATGCTTATAATTCCCATTATTTATATAAAATCAATCACATGCGTTTTATAGAGTTCAAATCCATTTCCAATGACACAAATAAACAAATCTCACGATCATTACGAATGTTTATGCACTTGATCCGTCAACATATGTAGCTTGCCCGAACTATGAATCGAACTCACGACTTTCACGGGACGAGACAATGTTTTATACCAAAGATATTCTATAAAGTTATTAAATATAATTTTTTATACATTGTTTTAAAAAAGCGCGGTTTCCTTCCATTTTAATATTAGGTAAGGTACTCAAACAAATTAAAGCTATAAAATATTTTTAATTAATTTAAAGAAAAAGAGTGTTTAAGCAAAGTAGTTTGATGAAATTTTTAAGAACAACAATAAAAATATTGACGATAACATTAGTTTTTGTGGCAATGAAAAGGAAGAAAATCGTAAAGGAAAACAATTAGGTTAGTTAGTTCAGTTATGAAGTAGTAAATCTTTTTCTTTTATTATCTAATTAGTTTCGCTAATAAATTTAATACAAGTATTTGGTTTTAAAATGAACAACTTTTACGCTATATTATACATTTTTTAACAATAATTTTAATGTATTTTTTCATAAATGAACATTTTAGATATTAAAACGTAATCAAAACTGAAAACAGGTGCAAATGTAGATGAAGCAGTTTTGGATGATCCCCAGCCTTCAGGTTCAGTTACAACTGCAACCAATCTCCATGATATAGGTAATTATGTAGGAAATTCAATGACGGATCAAGAAAAAGAAATTGTGTTGAAGTCATTATGGACGCCTCCTAAAACCCACCAATTTCCTGTTGAGCCTAAACGGTGTCTTAAATTTGAACGATTTTCCTGGCTTTCATACTCTGACAAAAAAGAAGGAGCGTTTTGTAAATTTTGTGTTATATTCGGTAGGGAACATGTGGGAAAAGGTGCTAACCAAAAAGTTGGGTTTTTGGTAACAGTATCTTTCAATAAGTGGAAAGATGCCATTGAACAGTTTGAAGCACATGCAAACATTGAATACCACAAAACATCAGTGATAATGGCTGAAAACTTTCTTTCCGTTGTTGAAAGGAGACAAAAATCTGTAACCAAGTTAATCGATTCAGAAATCTTGAGAAAAGTCCAAGAAAATCGTGCAAAATTGATTCCTATTATTGAAACAATAATATTTTGTGGTCGTCGAAAAATTGCACTAAGAGGTTCGGATGAAGTCGGTCCAGTCTTACACAACAATGTCAATGTTAATGATGGAAATTTCAGGGCTTTTTTGAGATTTCGTGTTTCATCCGGGGATATTATTCTTGAAAATCATCTGGACTCAAGTGCTGGAAACGCTTTGTGTACTAGCCCGGCTATACAGAACTCGATTATACATATCTGTAGCGAACTAATTCAAGAACAATTAGCAAAAAAGATTAATTCGGCCTGCTCATTTAGCCTCCTTGCCGATGAGACAACCGATGTAGCTAATAATGAGCAACTAACTATTTGTTATCACTATTTTGATAACAGCGTATTAAAAGAGGATTTTTTCGAATTTATTTTAGTTAACGATTTAACCGGACGAGGTTTGGCAGCCGCTTTGATAGAGAGATTAATGGCCTATTTTTAATAGGTATGAATTTATTTATTTATTTTCTAAACAATTGAATCATAATTTAATATTGTTTTATCAACAACTTCATTCTCACCAGGTCAAGGCTATGATGGAGCTGCAGCAATGAGTGGAATTTTGAATGGCGTTCAGACTGCTATACATGAACAGTATCCTCTGGCTGTGTATGTACACTGCTCAGCTCATTCTCTTAATCTGGCTTTTTCAAAATCTTGTAATGTCCCAACAATAAGAAATAATTTGGGAACAATAAAAGAAGTGATTGTATGTTTCAACTCATCATCAAAGCGTACACAGATTTTAAAGCACAAAATTTTCGTAGATCTACCTTTAATCAAACAAAAGAAATTAATAACTATGTGTGAAACACGATGGGTAGAAAGACATGAGTCTATAATGACATTCAAACAACTATATGTAGCTATAGTTCACGCTTTGGAAGAGTTGGATTTATTGTCTACTCGTGAAACATCAACAACAGCACATCAGTTATTATGTACCGTTAAAATAGGTTATTTTGTGCTAGCAATGAATGTTGCAAATGAGATATTTTCCTATACTATATCTCTTTCTAAAATGTTGCAAAAAGTGGATTGTGATTTAGTTGAAGGCTGTGCCGCTGTAAAGTTAGTACTTGACAAATTTCATGAAATGCGTTTGAAGGCAGAAGAAAATTTCTTGGTTTCCAAAGAAATGCTTCACTCTGTAAATGGCGAAGTCATTACTTCACCAAGGGTAACATCAATACAAACTACTCGTGACAATACTCCAGCAAAAATCAATGAAGAATATTATAAACGAGTGATGTTCTCTTCTTTTTTAGATCATATCTGCACACAACTAAAAGAAAGATTTATTACCCATGCTGACCTGATATTTTCTTTACAAGTGTTTTTGCCTAATAAATGTTTAAATTCAAAAAAACAATGTGCTACGGAAGAAATTCCAATCATGAAATATGTCAAAAATGTGGAAACTTTTATAGCTCAATACTGCCTAATGCAGATGTCTTAGCATCTGAATTTTTATTATGGAAAAAAAATGGGAAAATTCAGAAATCGTAGATAAACCATCAACAGCAATTGAATCTTTTTTAGTCCGTAATGACGATTTTTTCCCTAACGTAAAAGCACTATTACACATATTAACAACACTACAAGTTTTAACCGCAACTGCAGAAAGATCATTTTCTTCAACGAAAAGAATCAAATCTTATTTAAGGAACTCAACAAGTGAAAATAGATTAAATGGGCTCACTCTACTGAGCATTCACAAAGAAATCACGGTAAACCCTCAAGATGTTTTGGACAAATTTTCAAAAAGTGGCCGTCGTTGCAATATTGTATTGTGATGAGTTTTTATAATTGATATGGTTTTGTAATATACAGTAATTATAAGTTATTTTCTTTTCCTTTATTTTATTGAACCTTTTTATTTGTAAATTTGAATGAAAATTAAAATAAACGTGATTTAAATCAAAATTTTTAAACCCCCCCGAACACAATTTCTAAATACGGCCTTGGTTGCTGGCGATAAAGATTTACCGAAATCATCGGAGAAGGTTAAATAGGCTAGACTAGACTAAGATATCAACCCATAAATACCATAAAATCGCTTGACTTGGAACAGAACGATGGCCATAGATTAATAGATGTAAAGAACTTTCAAAAATTTACAGAAAGCTGAGACACAAAAATTATCGTGAAGCGGAAGTTTCAATCACCGATTTTGCAGATGTTTTTCGGAAAAATCGAATCATACGCAAGACTTTAAACCAATTAGGCAAGCACTACGACAAACAGAAATATATGAGATCGTTGCAGAAACAAGGCTATTTAAATTCTTGGCAAGCCCTTGGACTTTGTCAGTTTTCTTGTAAGAAACGAAGGTGGCTTTGTTTAGATTATAGAAAGTTGAATGAAGTCACCAAAAAGGATATCTATCCATTGCCGTGAAATGATGACATTATGGACACATTATCAGAATCGTGTTGGTTCTCCACGCTCCATATTAAAGTTGTTTATTAAAAGTTAATGGTTTCTCTCTCTCTTTTGCGTTTGCTTCAGAGGTTTCAACGACAAACACACACAGCGTATATGAATACGCGTGCAAACCACGCATCATACACATTGCATATGATAGGCGGGGATCTCTTTGTATTCGAACTCAGTCATTGCAATAGCAAGAACAAGCGCCTTTAACCATTGAGCCATCACGCCGCCCGATGATTAGCAGGTGAAGATCGAGAAAAGCGACCGTGAGAAGATAATTTTGGCATGTGGCAAGGCTTGTGGCAGTTCAGTTTGGCATATGTGCCTAAAGAACTCACTTGAAACATGTTTAATCTTTCTAAACGTCATCATCAAGACCGGTACCTTGCAAATCTGCAGAGAGTTTTTGTCCGACTTCAAGCGGCATATTTTAAACGCTTAACGAAAAGAAATGTAAGCGGTTTTGCGATGTCTATGGTTTACTCGACATCGTGTTGCGGATTTTCAATCCATAAATTTTCCGTTATAAACTAAAGTTGTTGCTCATTTTCCTTCAATAAAACATTAATTAATTTTTTCTGACAACGTTTTTTAAATTTGCGAAAGATTCCGTTGCTGTATTACAGTTAGTTATTACTTATGAATTCAACAACTTTTGATCGTCATCATAGTAACCGATTTTAATTTCAAATTTCAACAGTTTTCTTTCATCTACAAATTATCAATAATTTTAACTACGACTGCAATTCAACAAACGTCATCATAATCAAGTTTTTCAATGCTACATGTTTAGTCAATCTCGCAATTTGATGCTTTTGTCAAATAATTTTCGCTATGACAGCCAAGTGGACTCGCAAAAAACTTCTTGGTTTTTTACTACCCAAAAATTCTCTCCGTATTTTTAGAATATGTAGAAAAATCATGTTTCAATTAAATATTTGGAACCCGCGTTTGACACGTTTATCAAGGATCAACCTTTCGGCTCTGGGAAAAAGACCCAGCGTTAACAAACGCATGACCAAATAAAAATATGGGCTTGTAAATGCAAGGTCCGCTTTCAGCAAGACCGCTTTTCTGAACAACGTCATATATGAGGAAAAAACTATCCGATGCCACACGGGTTGTTTTACAAAGTTTGTCTTTCTTAGGTTACTCAGTTTGTAATACTCATCGTGGTACTTCCAGTGACAAACGTGGTGGCGGCTTGGCTGTTGTGTACAACAACTTACTGAGGGCAACACACATAAATATTGTACAATTTTTTGTAATTTTGAAAGCCTTTCAGTAAAATTCAACACTTTTTCGTCGTCATTCATTATTTCATCAATTTACAGGCCACCCGGCCCTGTTTCAACGAGCTTTCTGGATGAATTTACCAATCATCTAGATTTCATCATTGGCCATAATTTACCGTTTATCATATGCTACGACTTCCACGCACCAGAACCTCTCTTCGGTATTGATCATCACCTATTTTCATTATTAGAATCCTTCAATCTCACTCAACACATCAGCTCCTCTACACATGTGCTTGGCAATTTGTTGGACCTCGTAATCACTCATATTAACAACAACATTGTAGATAATCAAACCGTCAATGATTGCGTTTTTTCAGATCACAACACTGTGTGCTTCAACTCAACGCTCTTCAAACCATCATCGACTATCATCTATAACTAACGCCGCAACTTTTGTCGTTTAAATTACACGTCATTCGAAAATGACTTAAACAGAGCATTTGTGATTTGCTCTCACAAGATTTGGAGATCGATGAGTTTGTGTCAGCTCTAAACACAACTTTAAATGACTTCGTCAACAAACACGCATCAATCAAGCATTACTCGTTTCGTGAGAGCTTCCACCCTCACTGTTTTTTTATCCCAAGAAGCAATAACTGCTAAAAGAAATTGTCGTCGTATGGAGCATCACTACAAACATGAAAAATCAGCACTCAGCTTCGTCAACTAAAAAATCTATACATAGGACGCGATATAAATTAATAATAATAATAATTAATAATATTAAAAAGTAAATTACGTGGAACACTTGGTATCTCCAGAAAGAGTGAAAACTGACCCAAGTAAAATTGAAGTAGAAAGAAATTGGCCGGTTCCCAAAGATTAACATGAAATGTAGAGTTTTCTCGGATTGGCCACTTATTACCGTCAGTTTGTGAAAGGTTTTATTAGAGTCGCAAAACCACTCTATGAACTAACGGAAAAGAATCGAGTCTTTAATTGTAATGAATTGGACAACTAAAGAAAAAATTGTGTGATACTTCATTGCTGTAGTATTCCGTTCGTGGATAGACGTTCATCTTAGAGACAGATGCAACTAACCATGAAATCGGAGATGTCCTTTCACAACATATTGACGGAGAAGAAAGAATTTTGGCATACTGTAGTATGTAAAAAAGCTCACTAAATCCAAACGCAACTGCTCTGTTACCAGGTAAAAATAGTAAGCAATGATTAGTGCGACAAAGCTCTAACCACAAAAAACCACAAAACCCTCAAATGGTTACTAAACTTTAAAAACCCAGAAGAACAAAAAGCGTTATAAATAGAACAGTTTCAAATGTACAATTTTAAAATTATGCTTCACAAGGAAACAATTCATAGTAAATCCGATGGTCTTTCTCGCCGACATTGCCCATTATCGGTTAGAAGTAAAAAAATTAGAGAGCACACACGCAAATGATTCAAGCAACAGCCGACAATGGATGTACTTCGGAAGAACTCACTGAACTTGCACAATTAGAAAAAGACACAGCAAATTCAGAGGTGGAAGGATGTTTTTGAATACAGCTCGGTAATAAAATCTTTTTGACTCAATGGGATTCTTTGCACATAGAGGAATGGCTTTTTAAAATAAAATGGGAGTCCGTCGATGGTTTAAAACATTTGATGCAAACGGTGATACATAGATTCAAGACGGCTGAAATCCTCGATGAGATTGGCGGAAGGCCATCAGGAGGGCATCTTGGTGTGAAAAAAACACTGGGTAGGATGAGAGATAGGTTCTACTGGCTGAACATTCGTGAAGACGTGGAAAAACAGAGCTGGAATTTTACCACGTCTTTTTCTGAAAATCTAAGAAGAAGCTACGCGGGTCAATGCAAATTGACGATATCGGTAGACTTTTCTAGAGTTATAATCGATTTCGCGAGTCCCTTTCTTAAAACAAAAAAGGAAATTGTCGGATTTGGGCTGTAGTGGCAGCTTGTTTCAGTGAATGGCCAGATGCTACCCAATCTGGAAGCATATACGGTGGCTGAAGAAATTGTATCAAATTGGGTTAATCACTATGGCGTTCTCATAGATTGCACTCAGATCAAACACCAAAACTTTGAATCTCATTTATCCAGAGAGATTTGTCGCCTACTGGGTGTCAGCAAAACAAAGCAATACCTCTTTGTCCGCAATCCGATGGCCTGGTAAAACTTTTAATCAAACGTTAATTGAACGCCTGGCCTGGCTAGGGTTATCAGTGGCAAGCAGCAAGACTTGGATAGCCGGGTACCATAGTTCCTTCTAGGAAATTCATCATTGGCCATAATTTTATCGTTTATCATATGCTACGACTTCCACGCACCAGAACCTCTCTTCGGTATTGATCATCACCTATTTTCATTATTAGAATCCTTCAATCTCACTCAACACATCAGCTCCTCTACACATGTGCATGGCAATTTGTTGGACCTCGTAATCACTCATATCAACAACAACATTGTAGATAACCTAACCATCAATGATTGCGTTTTTTCAGATCACAACACTGTGTGCTTCAACTCAACGCTCCTCAAACCATCATCGACTATCATCCATAACTAACGTCGCAGCTTTCGTCGTTTAAATTACACGGCATTCGAAAATGACTTAAACAGAGCATTTGGTGATTAGCTCTCACAAGATTTTTAGATCGATGAGTTTGTGTCAGCTCTAAACACAACTTTAAATGACTTCGTCAACAAACACGCATCAATCAAGCATTACTCGTTTCGTGAGAGCTTCCACCCTCACTGTTTTTTATCCCAAGAAGCAATAACTGCTAAAAGAAATTGTCGTCGTATGGAGCATCACTACAAACATGAAAAATCAGCACTCAGCTTCGTCAACTAAAAAATCTATACATAGGACGCGATATAAATTAATAATAATAATAATAATTAATAATATTAAAAAGTAAATTACGTGGAACACTTGGTATCTCCAGAAAGAGTGAAAACTGACCCAAGTAAAATTGAAGTAGAAAGAAATTGGCCGGTTCCCAAAGATTAACATGAAATGTAGAGTTTTCTCGGATTGGCCACTTATTACCGTCAGTTTGTGAAAGGTTTTATTAGAGTCGCAAAACCACTCCATGAACTAACGGAAAAAAATCGAGTGTTTAATTGTAATGAATTGGACAACTAAAGAAAAAATTGTGCGATACATTCATCTTAGAGACAGACGCAACTAACCATGGAATCGGAGATGTCCTTTCACAACAAATTGACCAAGAAGAAAGAGTTTTGGCATACTGTAGTATGTAAAAAAAGCTCACTAAATCCGAAGGCAACTGCTCTGTTACAAGGAAGAAATTGTCAGCAATGATTAGTGCGACAAAGCCCTCAAATGATTACTAAACTTTAAAAACCCAAAAGGACAAAAAGCGTTATAAATAGAACAATTTCAAATGTACAATTTTGAAATTATGCTTCACAAGGAAACAATTCATAGTAAATCTGATGATCTTTCTCGTCGACCTTGCCCACCAAAATGCAAACACCATTATCGGTTGGAAGTAAAAAAATTAGAGAGCACACACGCAAATGATTCAAGCAACAGCCGACGATGGATGTACTTCGGAAGATCTCACTGAACTAGCACAATTAGAAAAAGACACAGCAAATTCAGAGGTGGAAGAATGTTTTTGAATACAGCTCGGTAGTAAAATCTTTTTGACTTAATGGAATTCTTTGCACATAGAGGAATGGCTTTTTAAAGAAAATGGGAGTCCGCCGATGGACTAAAACATTTGATGCAAACGGTGATACATAGATCCAAGACGGCTAAAATCTTCGATGAGATTGGCGGAGGGCCATCAGAAGGGCATCTTGGTGTGAAAAATCACTGGGTAGAATGAGAGATAGGTTCTACTGGCTGAACTTTTGTGAGGACGTGGAAAAACAGAGCTGGAATTTTACCACGTTTTTTTCTGAAAATCTAAGAAGAAGCTACGCGGGTCAATGCAAATTGACAATATCGGTAGACTTTTCAAGAGTTATAATCGATTTCGCGGGTCCTTTTCTCAAAACAAAGAAAAGAAATTGTCGGATTTTGGTTGTAGTGGCTGCTTATTTCAGTAAATGGCTAAATGCTACCCAATCTGGAAGCATATACGGTGGCTAAAGAAATTGTATCAAATTGGGTTAACCATTATATTATTAAATGACGTTCTCATAGACTGCACTCAGATCAACACCGAAACTTTGAATCTCATCTATCCAGAGAGATTTGTCGCCTACTGGGTGTCAGCAAAACAAAGCAACACCTCTTTGTCCGCAATCCGATGGCCTGGTAAAACTTTTAATCAAACGTTAATTGAACGCCTGGCCTGGCTAAGGTTGTCAGTGGCAAGCAGCAAGACTTGGATAGACGGGTACCATAGTTCCTTCTAGGAAATCGAAGTGCCATTTATACTGCTTTATATATTTATTTTTTATTACGCAACTGACACAGGCCACTTGCCCGGTCAGAAAAAAAAGAACAGACAATTACAATTGAAAAAAATGGCAGAAAATAAAAAAAGATCAATACTAAATAAGTGTCATATCGCAATCACGAAATTAAAAAGCATAAAAGAAAACGATAATAAACGTTGCATTGTCAGCATTAAACAGTTAATCAATCAACAATCAATTAATCAAATCTTTCATTCAACAGCAATGTACAATCCATGCACGCAAACACTGACCAAAAAACCATTCCACACACTTAAACAGTCATATAAAAATTACAATTCAAGTAGCATAATGATAAGTTAGAGTCAAAATGTTAGCCCATGCATCTCCCGAGCAAAACTCACATCCCCTAAACGCAGACATAGGAAAGAGAAAAAGAAATGTTCAATATTCACACAATGGTTAAGAATTGGTTGAGGTCTACTAAAGTTATTTTGTTTTTGAAAATTAGATATGTTGGTGACGAAACAATTTCATCAGGCAATGAGTTCCATATTCAAACAATTCTGCTACCAAAAAAGTATTTGGATGTGTTTCTGTCTGAGTTAGATTCTCGTAGTCTGTAAGGATGTCCACGAGTTGATTGGTAGGACAAGGAAGAAAACAGATCATTCAAATCAATGCTGATAACTTTGTTTAATAGTGTGTACACAAAACATAGGTCCGAAATTAGTCTGCGATAATCCCACTAAGCACAGACGAGTTGTGTACGGAAGATGACGAACTGAAGGAATGAACTTTGTGAATCTTCTTTGCACACTTTCTATCATTGTCAGTTGGTATTTGTAGTGAAGATTCCAGACGGACTAGCAATATTTCAAAAATGGTCGAACGTATATGCAGAAAGCTTTGGTGAGAAGGTCTTTATCTCTTGAAGTAAAACATTCGGTGATCAGGTATGCACGTGTAGAAGTTCTTTGAGTGATGCCATTGATGTGCCGACCGATTGCTGATTATTACATCAAGATTTTTAAAGTGATCAACAAGATTCGAGAAGTGGTGATCAACCGCATATTGATTAACAAATGTATTACCAAATGAAGGAAGTAATAAACATTTAGAGTCTTTGTTAAGAGAGAGTGGCAGTTGCCATTGTTTACTCCAAGCAACGATGTTATTAATGACCTGTTGCAAGTGAACTGAGTTAGAAGAACGTGAGTACAATTTTACATCATCCGCAAAATGACGCAGGGAAATACAATCATCAATATCGTTGATAAAAATGAGGAACAGGGTGGGTCTGATACGCTGCCTTGAGGAACACCTTTTGTCACTGGTACTGAACGGAAAAGTTTATTTTGAATCTGGACTCTTTGTGAACGCTCAAGCAGGGATTCAGTCAATCAGCCCAGTAAATTTCCAGTTATGCCGTAAGCTTTTAATTTACGAGCAAGCTTGGCGTGTGAAACAGAGTCAAATGCTTTCTGAAAATTGAGGCAGATTGTATCACAGCCTTCCTTTTGTTGAATAAGCAATGAATCTTTAAGAAATCTAATAAGCTTGGTAGAAGTTGATCTACACGAAAGAAAACCATGTTGAGAATTAGTAATTAAGTTGTTGTCTAATAAATACGATAATAAATTTCTATTAGCAATTTTTTCCATGACATGGCATGGGATAATTAGTTGGACCTTTTTTATGTACTGGAATGATGATAGCAGTCTTCTATTCAGATGGTATGGAATTATCCTTAAAAGATAAATTAAAGATGTGACATAGTGGAACAGCTAGACTAGAAGCACACATTTTGAGTAGAATGTTAGGTATTCCATCGGGACCCACAGGAGTTGTTTATTTTAGCTTGCGAAGTGCTTGATAGACTGTATCTGGAGTGAAATTAATATCATCTACTGGTTTGTAAGTACGGCTGGGTAGTGAACAAATACTATTATCATCAGCAGTAAAAACAGTGGCAAAATAATCATTGAATGTATTTGCCATTGTTACGGAATCACATGTCAATTCGAAAACTAGAAATCTGTGGTTTGGAGAATAGTTTGTCATTGATGTACCGATAAAAACTTCGAACATTACCTAATGATAACAAATTGGCTTCACTAGACCTTCGATAAAAATTAGCCAAATTGCAACATCTTCGAGACATCATTAGATAAAGAGTTTTGTCGTTTGAATTAGAGCTTTGTTTCTATTTCTTCCAGAAGTAAGAAGTAGAGTTTGACTCTGTATGACAATTGTAGTGGTTTGTGGTATTTTACGCTTGGTTGCTGGACTCTTCTCAGTGCCGGATTAACCATTAGGCTAATAAGGCTATAGCCTTAGGCCCTGCCAAATAATCGGCCCTAATTTATTATATCACAAGCGTGTTTAATGAACCATGTTACAATTTATAGAGGCAACATAAAATTTTAATTTTTTTTTAATTTATGGGCACAAAAATTGACATGGTTTGATTAATTATTTGTTCAAAGATTTTCCACCACATGTTGGTGTTGAAAAAGTGTTGAGAGTAAAGATCTCAATCAATTGTTGACAAATAATCATTTAAAGAATTGTAGTTAGCACTGTAGAAATCGAGAAAGCAACTTTTGTTGTTAGAATTAACGTCTTGAAATCTGTTGGAGAAATTGTTGATTTTAAAAGTGATACAAATGGAACGATAACCTCCAGCTCAGCAAGAAAACCGCAATCATCTGAAAGAACAAAGTCAAAAATATTATGTTTGATTAAATGTTGGCTGATTTCGTCTTGTTTGTTTTTTATGCCGTTACAGTTAAGTTGAAGGAGGTTAAGCTGTCCGGCGGATTGAGCTTGGGGAAGTGAAGTGTTGGAGCAGGAAGAGATGGAAGTGCTTGTTGATGTTGTCTGCCGTCGGAGAGTCCCATCCGACACTGACTGACTACTTGAATTGGGGGACAGATGAGTCCAGTTGTTACAGTTGTAACGACCGTTAATGTGGTTTGAGTAGTTGGTTGAATGGACCCAGTTGTAGCAGGTGCGGCAACGGGTTGAGATTTGGGTTTTGTTGATTTGTTGATTGCAGGCAGGACAAATCCGGATCTTAGGGAAACCCGGGTTTGACTCGGTTCCGGCCCTGAAAAGGAGACAACGGAGCAGGTCGGCCGGAAGAGGCTGCTCCGTTGACAAAAACCCAAATTTGACATCCAAGGTTGGGAGGGGGTGTTGCAATGGTTTGTTGGAAGCGGTCGACAGAAGAGATGACGATCGGTCCAATCGGTTCCACCACAAAAAGGCTGTTGCACCAGAACCTCACATTTCAATACAACTACCATCCCCAAGTTAAGATAAACAACCAGCTTTTAACCCTAACCCAACCCAAAAATATTAGGACTAACCTTGGACACAACACTGTCGTTCTCACAACACCACAAAATGGCAGTGGCCAAGGCCACCAAAAGAAACTATTTTTGGCCAGTTTTATTGAATTTAGAATACCAACACCAGTCTATTTAGTAATGCCGTCTATCCATTTCTTCGCAGGTCTACCAACTTTTTACTTCCAATCTTTTTTCTCATTAGTACCATTTTAATCAATCTTTCTTCCCTCATTCTACAAATGTGTCCAAAAAATCTTTATTTTTTTTCTCTGACTTTGTCATATACACTTTTCTGTCTTCCAAGTTGATTTATATATATATATATATATATATATATATATATATAACAGTATGATTGGCACTTATATATGTGCCTGTGTGTTTGTGTGTGTGCGTGCGTGCCTGTGTGTGTTTGTGTTTGAAAAATATCTATTCATCTATTTTTACTATCAGAAGAAAGGCTTGAGCAGAGCCCCTTGTCCAAAATATAAATAAACAAAAATAAAGTAGAACGAATTTCAATAAAAATCAACAAAAAAAGTTAAACTTTATGTTCGTGTCAATAACTCAATCGCATAAGAATAATATTATTATTTATATTTATTTATTATTAATATTAAGGTATAGAATACTTTTTATCACCATAAAATAAACCGAGTTTTGTTTTAAAAATATCCAATGACGGAGCATTAACAATGTCATTAGGCAATGCATTCCACAGGCTAACAACTTGATTCGAGAAAAAATATTTTCTACAATCATACAGGATGTTTTTCAAAATAAATTTGTCTCTCAATTGCTTAATGAAAATGTTTGTCAAAGCTGTAAAAACAATAGGTCAATAATTTATATTTTTGAAAATTGTAAATTAACAAATGTTATTGTAAAATTATTCATGTTCAAATAAATGCAATTTGAAAATTGCAGCTAAATAAAAAAGCAATCACAAATGCAAAAAAGAACAAGATTTGAAGATTTTCATTCGTTCTTAAAATGTTAACCAACGTTGAACAATTGTAAATTATGAGAACATTTTCCATCTAATTCTGAAAATAAATTTGAAATTTTATATAGATAATTTTTCAATTAAAAATTTCATAAAATTCATGATTCAAATATAAATAGTTAAGTATAATAAATTAAATTTCCCTCCTGGTCTGGTTTTGCTACACAACAACATCTTCGGCAACTACAATTTTTCATCAATAAACTAATTCGCCTCAACTACCTGCATCATATCCTATCGTCACTCAAATCAACACACTCGATTCAAGACTGTTCTAAAAAGTAGAAAATAACAACCACGTCATCCATCCTCTACTCCCACCAATCAAAACTACAATACTCAACCTTGTCAGCGCAAGCATAACTATCAAGTCGCCACTCAATCAGCATATCAGGAAAAGACCTTCATCACAAGGCACCTCCAACATATTAGCACTCAATAAAACTTTATTTACACAATCTAGTTTTCTTTTTACTTATCGATCACCTCCCTAACGCAATAAGTCATTATATAGTCCATTAGCAAATCACTATATTAATTTACTCTTTTATATCATTACGTTATTTTATTTTCAATACTTTTCATTTTTAAACATTTTTTTCTCCGTTTTTTATTCGTTTATTTTTTTTCGTTACCATTTTCTACTACTGCCTTGCATGCTGCAAAGGTTTCTGCGCCTGTCAGATCCTGATTTTTTTTAAATAATAAAAAAATATATCTTGTTTGATTTTATTGATATCTGTCTACATAAAAATAAATATTAATGTTGTAAAAACAATTATTTGAGAAAACTTATTAAAGCATGCTAACTCTCTATAAAATAATACAATAATCTGGTAGCACATTTGTAGTTAGCGAGGCATCAGGCGAAAATATATCGCTTACTGGGTTCTGATTTTATATATGGCTTCTTTCAAACTTTTGTCGAGTGACAAAGCGTGATGCTTAAAACTTTCTATTTAAAATTGTAATTTTTCAATATTAAGATCAGCTGTTTATATATTTGCTACTTTTTTAATTTTTAAGTATGTTATTTATATTTTTCAATATCAACACCTCAAAAATCCTCAAAATTTTTAAAATCTGTTACTGATCCTTTTTTCAATTTTTTAAATGACGTTTCTAGTTTTTTTTCTTCTTTTTTTTCTTTTGGGCTGCGGGATGGCTTTGTGGTTAAGGTCGTCTGGTGCTGTTTCGCAGAGCATGCAGTAATTTGGTTCAAGGCCGTATTTAGGGGTGGGGAGGTTTACGGGTTCAAACCCCCCCCCCCCCGAAATTACGAAAATTTTAAAAATGAAGTAAAAATTACGTGTGTGATTTAAACATATTTATATTTAATAAAATTTTTGTATATGCTTATAATTCCCATTATTTATATAAAATCAATCACATGCGTTTTATAGAGTTCAAATCCATTTCCAATGACACAAATAAACAAATCTCACGATCATTACGAATGTTTATGCACTTGATCCGTCAACATATGTAGCTTGCCCGAACTATGAATCGAACTCACGACTTTCACGGGACGAGACGATGTTTTATACCAAAGATATTCTATAAAGAAGTTATTAAATATAATTTTTTATACATTGTTTTAAAAAAGCGCGGTTTCCTTCCATTTTAATATTAGGTAAGGTACTCAAACAAATTAAAGCTATAAAACATTTTTAATTAATTTAAAGAAAAAGAATGTTTAAGCAAAGTAGTTTGATGAAATTTTTTAAGAACAATAATAAAAATATTGACGATAATATTAGTTTTTGTGGCAATGAAAAGGAAGAAAATCGTAAAAGAAAACAATTAGGTTAGTTAGTTCAGTTATCATGTAGTAAATCTTTTTCTTTTATTATCTAATTAGTTTCGCTAATAAATTTAATACAAATACAAGTATTTAGTTTTATATAAAGTCTACCTTTTTTATTGCGTTTAAAAGTTATTCAAAGGTTTTTGGATTTGTTTCTGTATAATTCAATTTGAATAGAAGGTTTAACATACTATTCAAATTAATGCATTTCTATTATTTTATACATAACAAATTATTGTTAATTATTATTTGATTGAAATGATGTCAATAATATTAATGATTTTGTTACTGATTTTATGAATTACTTTAATAGTAAATTTTAAATGATGTAAAAGTGAATTTAGAATGGATATTCAATTGGGACTTTAAAAGCAGGGTTACATTGGCACTGCATACTTTCGAACCCGGTGACACGAGGTTACGTACAGGCGTGCTACCCAAAACTTTAATAGCACATTACACGAATAATCCGTAAAATGACATAGCATGCATTCGAATCCGATAACGCAAAGTCATCCTAGAGAAAGTCTATCACTCGCTCTTTTTTGTCTTTGGCTCTTTTTGTTTTGCGCCCTTATTGTCCGCGGTTTTTTGACCGCGCTTTTTTGCACTGCACCCTTATTGCTGCGCTCTTTTTGTCTGCGCATTTTTTTCTGCGCCCTTTTGTCGGTGAGCCATTTTAGAAGCCTTGAAAGGACAATCCAGTTTTTTGCCAAAAAGTTTTGGCAACGTTTTTGAATTAGTTTTGGTACTAGATGGTTGGTTATCATTTTTAGACCTTGGTGAGCTAGCAGACTTTTTGCGTTCTTTTTTAAACCGGAATAAAGCCATTACTGGTTTCATCATGTGATTTACATTGGTAATTTATAGCGGAGGAGTCATTAGGATCACTACATAGCTGAACCTCAGGAATTGTGTTTGTAGTTACTTTAGAATTTAGATTCATTCCGAATAAACTTAAAATAGATTTATTATTATTAACGTTTAGGTCAGGATTCGTTGTTGAACGAAAAAAGACAGGTTTGCTTGTTAGTCGACTGGTTGAAGTAAATTTTGTTGTACAAGCCTTAGCATAATTAATTGTATTACTGAACATTGAACTATTAGAAACGATAGAACGTACACTATCAAGTATAGACTTATTGTTAACATTTAAGATTTCAATTAAAACCATTCGTTGATTATCAAGCTTGACCTTAATATCGTCTCTAATTAATTTGGAATTACAATTAATCCCGTTTAGAACATTCGGAGTTTTCAATAAGTTGAGACTGAAGAAAATAGAAGATTTATCTAATATACCTAGCTTTAAAAACTTTAGAAAATTAATACAATCCAGAACTTTGTCTTTTTGTTGACGCCACGAAATTAAAAGTTGTCCAAAATACCGCTAGTTAAATTAAAAGTTTTGAGAGTTCCAGTTCATTTTTTAAGAATTTTTTGGGAACGTTGAATGACAAAACAAACAAAAATGGGAGAGAATAGGGAACAAATTTCAATTTCCGCTCCCTTCTACATCTCACGTAGTTTTTGAGTTTACTAGAACTTCGTCCGCCAGATGACACTGTGACAGGCTAGTTAAAGATCTATTACACTCTTCTTAGATTCAGAGGAATCAACACGCACCAACATCGTATATGAATACAGAATACATGCTAAACGGCGCATCATTTATAAGAAGTTCCAGTTCATTTTTCAAAGTTTTCACTCCAGAAACAATTTTCTCAACCTGAAAAAAATCAACAACCCGCAAAGCAAAGAATTCTCTCTCTCTCTCTCTCTCTCTCTCTCTCTCTATATATATATATATATATATATATATAATTGTGTTTTTGCGTGCATGTGTGTATGTTTGTGATATGTGCGTTTTTGCGTGCGTGTGCGTGTTTGAGTGTAGTATGTGCGTGTCTGTGTATATACATATTTAGGATATATATATATATATATATATATATATATATATAAAAGCATTTTGAATTGTTTTGTCCATTTATAACCAGTTTGATAAATCTGTGCATGAGGGTAGGTTGCTTCCCCACACCTTGTAAGCATGCAATTGTTGTGCCGTTGTTGAAAAAAAGTGATGCAGATCCAGATGACGTCAGTAATTATCGACCAGTCAGTAATCTATTATTTATATCAAAACTCATTGAAAGAATGGTGTTGAGACAATTGCTTGCTCATTTGAATGGTAATAATCCCATGCCTGCATATCAATCCGGTTTTAGACGATTTCACTCCACTGAAACTGCCCTGCTGCATGTTCTCTCAGGGGTTTATGCTGAGATGGATGCTCAAAACATTTCCTTGTTGGCATTTTTGGACATGAGCTCGGCTTTCGACTGTGTCAATCATGAAATGTTACTGCTCAGGCTACATTAGAATATCTGGGGAAATAATAAATTGGCTCAGAAGCTACTTGATTGGCCGAACACAGCAGGTTTCGTTCAACGGGAGTTTGTCCTGCGTCAGTGTAGATCCACTACTGTTTGCAATTGTTTTTGAGTTTAGTCGATTTTTCAAAAAACGTTGCACCCGAAATAAATATATATGAATTTTGTTGTAGTATTTAATTATACAGAATAATGTGGTAAATAAAAATCGTAATGTGTTACTAGTAAGTTCATTTGTGTGTCAATTCTTATTTAAATCATTCACCACAAATAATTGACTGAAAATATTTAAAGAAGTCTTACTTTTGTGTGGATTGCGTTCAAAACAATACGTTGTTGTTTCGACAGAGTGTTCTAAAATAAATAAAAAATTAATAAATTATCAAACAAGATGTGCAGAAATAACAATTGAGTTGAAGAAATTAAATAACACAAAATTTGTTCAATTAATAATTTAATAAATTAAAACCAAAGTAAATTCATTATTCCAAAAAAAACTTTTAATATATTTTTTTACTTTGTGGTTGCCGATACCACCATAAATAGGTATAGCTGATAAAGCATAACATTTTGAATCATTGGAAATCAAGACATTTGAAAAAGTGACATGTGGCCATTTTGGTGAGCAATTAGACAATTGATTTTGGTTATACATTTGCTCCAAGTTTTTGCTGTGCTGGTCACCTGTGTTGAAAAGATCAAACAAAACTTAAAACAAACAATTTAAAGTATATAATTTGAAATTGTTTTAATATTAAAACATAAAATTAAGAAAATCAATTTAAAATTTTTAATCATTAAAAGACCTTTTATCATTGATGAAATGTTTTCAATTTTAGTCATTTCTTCGAAATTATTTTCCCCTTCTACAATGACGGTTTTGTTTTTAACAACATCATCTAGAGACCATGGATCTGGAACTGGATCGATTCCATATTTGAGTTCTGTAGCAATTTGAGCTCTGTGACAACAAATTTCTAAAAAGCAAATTGCACTAAGAATAGATTGAAGAAGACTGAGAATGGCTATAAAAAAAATGCCACTTGGAATTTTCCCGGTCAATACGACGTGACAGTATAACACCTTACATTACAATGAATTTAATTAATTATTAAATTTATTTGTTCATTACTTCATTGATTTATATTTATTTAGTCCGTTTAATCTATTAAATCTTATTTATATGCTACTTAAATGTTGATTTTTAAAAACGCTTCAGATGTTGTAATGGCAAAGAATCTTAAAAAATGTGGAAAACATTGTCTTTAGCAATAATGCGGTTATAGTAATAATTTTAAAACTACAAAAAAGTTCTTACTAACCGAAGAGTTGGTTCCGCAAGAAATGAGTGTAAAAACAAAAGCTGTCATGAAAGAAAACAACAGAAAAACGGCAGTCTGGTTTTTTAATGAATTATTCGTCATTAATTACGTATATCAATTTTTAAATTTATTTTTTTTACATTTTCAGTGAATTTTTAAACATAATAAAAATGAAAATATTAAAAAAGTATGTTACTGACAAGTTTAGACATGATGTTTTTTATTCCCCACGCCATAAATCCTGTTAACAGAGCCTTCAATAATTTGGTTAACGTATACAATTTTGAAAAGTATTACGACCTCCTATAAAAATAAATTTAGAAAATCAACAAATTTATTGATGTACTAACAGAAATAGTAAAGAAGCCACTCAACCATGCAAATTTAAGATAAGATTGATCTTTACAAAACTCCGCTTTTTGCCCGAAAGGTTCAATATATCCTGCGTAGTTAAATCTGTTTGATTGATATTAAAGTAATGCATTAACATTAACTTATTACATATTTCATAACTAACGACAAAAGTTTTATGTAAGTATTTGATGCAATGAGATTGCTGAGATTGAAAGACGATAGGATTACGGTCGCCATGGAAGAAAGTATCAATAAAACTGAAGATATCCAGTAACATGCACCTGAAATTATTGATATCTTTTGAATACTTTTTGACATTACAGAAATGTGTTAAATGCAACTAAACTTTTTTTTAAAAGTTACTATATATACAGTTATTGAGGAATATCACCGCCTTTTCCGCATTGTTGAGTTTTTAACTAAGTTTCTCAATTTTTCAAATAATTATTTTATCGATATTATTCAATTTTCAATTTTAAAATTTCAATTATTTTAGACTGCAATTTCTATATATATATATTTACATAAAAGCTTTTTTCGGTAACCTTTACCATCATCAGTGTAATAGAGTCTGTGATATTGTTACATGTAGTTCATCTGGTATTTATAGTATTTTTAGCAAAGGAACTCTAAGTTCCATTGTTTCTTTGTGTGAGTAATTTCTTTGTTGATAGGATTGTTACAGCCTGTTGTTGGATGTTTATCACAGGGTTTCTATTTTCTATTAATAAAGCCTCTGCTATTCTCAAATTGCTTATATTATTGTTGTAAAATGACACTGGTATTTGAGTTAAATATTTCTCTTGTTATTTTTATTTGGTGTGAATCCATTAGATGATTTTTAATTCCACTATTTTGTGTATCCTAAGTTTTAATTTATCATTTTCATTGATAGTTTTTACATTACCGTTTACAACCCTCTTTATTATTTTCTCATCAGTCTTATAAACTGTTGACATCGAATTTTTGTAATAAAGTTATATGTCATTTGATGTTTTATCAGTGTTCCTTTTTTTGTTCAATCACGATCTTTTTTGCTAATAATTTTTTTCAATGAATGTTCTTTTGTAATCATCGTTAATTAGCATGTTGGTTATCCGTTTGAGTTAAGTTACTCTGTCCTCTGGATCTGTAGAATGTGTGAAGGCTTGATTAAAAAATGATGAGACCGTGCTTGTTTGGTAAGCTTCCCTGCATTCACTCCGTCCATTCAAAAAAAATGCTTTCATGTAAATATATATATGAAAATTGCAGTCTAAAATAATTAGAAATTTTATTTTTAATTTGAATAAATTGAATAATATCGATAAAATAATTGTTTGAAAAATTGAAAAACTTAGTTACAAACTCAACAATGCAGAAAATGCGGTGATATTTCTTAATAACTGTATACACGACAATCTGAACCCAAATATATATATATATATATATATTTATCAACTTGCACTGATGATGGTTCATTCGGAATTGAAATATGGCCTTATTTACAGTATTTGCAATTTAGAAAATAAGTTTATTTTGAATTTTAATAAACTAAACGTTCTTCAAAATACTTTAGTGAGACAAATCGAAAAAACGAACTACAAGCATATTAACGCCAAACATTCGGTAGAATTTATAAAATATTGTAAAAATTTATATATCTATATATACCAAATTAAATCAAATTTTGAATTTATATAGCGCCAATTGTAATTGCTTCTCATCAGCGCTCTCCTTGTATAAAGCATGTTGAAACCAAACCATAGTCGGTGGAGATCACTAGGAGTTACCAAATAGGTATGTCTTTAGATGTTTTCTGAACTCAGCTAGTGATAACTCAGTAATACGTAATTTGATAGGTAGGCTGTTCCAAAAATCAGGCCCAGCAACTGCAAAATCTTTATCTGCTGTTTTCAGATTCCAATCTCTAACATACAGCATGTTTGAATCAGCAGACCTTAGACGCCGATGGGATGACATAGATATAAGATCTAATAGATCTAATACTTGTATCCTCTAAATATTTCGGAGCCAGACCATTCAAAATTTTAAATACCATTACACCCAACTTGAACATGATTCCTTGTTTAACAAGCAGCCAACGCAACTCCTTTTGAATTGTTGATGCACGATCAAATTTTAATTTGCGGCATATCATTTTAGCAGCCTGGTTCTGAACCATCTAAAGTTTAGACAACAGTTTATCAGCTATACCATACAATTACAATGACTGTTACAATAATCCAATCTAGAGTTGACGAAAGCATGTACTAATAATGTCTACCGATTTCGTGACTTGACGTAACTGACGTAGTAAGAACATGCATTTTTAACCAATAGATTGACTGGTGGACCCATTATCAAACGAAAGTCCATCACAATTCCCAAATTGGTGACCGTTTTACTGAAAGAAGAATTTTGATTGCCCGTTGTTGAATATTTATTATCTGATGCCTTTGTTCTAAGAGAATTGATTCGGCTAGTCAAAATTATAATGGTTGTTATTGTAATGTAAGATTTCAACATTTTGGTCAAGATTTGTTTAGTAATTTTAGTTTTGTGGGTTTTTTCATGTGATTTTTTATAGCGCCAGTTTGTACGTGCATCGTGAGTCTTCTCGATAAGTTGGCCGTCGTCATACCAATATATTCAAATTATAATATCACCAATATTACATTTGAATAAATATATTAGATGGTTATGATCCATTATCGATTCTGGTTTACTAGTGCGGTTGTCTTTCATCACAAGAGATGACGTTCTTTGGTTGGAGTAGTATATTCTTCGTAGTACAATACTATCATTTTTGTTGCATAAAATAAACAAAAATTTTGGTTTTGAACTAAAGAATCTTGAAAATGAGTTACGATCATTTTACAAAACCTAAATTTAACTACAAGAAAAGTGTTGCTAGTGATAGTCATGGGAACAAAACATTTCCACAAGGACCTCTACGGACAAAATTTTTTCTTTCAAATTGATTATACAGCGTTAAAACGGTTGGTCAATTTCAGAGATCCAGAAGAACAGGTAGCACAATGGTTAAAACTATTACAAATAACTTTGAAATTATGCACCGTAAGGGGACCTTCCCCCACAATGCCGATGCTTTTCTTCCATCATACTTGTTTACCAGGTTGTAAATACTGCAGTCGACTGGAAGAGGCAGAGAATGTACGAAAAATTACGATGTCGGAAGACACAGGATAGGCATGCCCTGGTTCGTTCAAGGCAGCCGACCAGCCTCCGACGGGTTCATCTGCTTCCGCGCGACCGCCTCTTACCGCTGCACCTGTCATCAACTCTCATGTTGCTACACGCGGTTCTTTGGCGTCGGTCTCGGAGAGTCCCTCCCAAGTAGATTTTTTACATGTTTTTGACAGGCTGACGGTAGTTTTGAGAACTGCCCATCTGTATGATCACGTTCCCAAACCGTGCAGAGACAAGGTACCTAAAGCATTGTCGGCTTTATTGACGGCCGTTTGCGAGGATCCCTGCGACGCGGCCCATTGGTGCAGGCTCCAATGTTTTTTTGCATTTGTTTTGTTCAAGCCCACCAGGGGCGGTCGCAGGACTAATCAAGCCAATTACGTTATTAAACGGTTGGCCGAATTCGGTTCGACCGAGGTCGAGATTATATTGACAAGCTTCAACACTGACCACAACACCAAACCGCGTAAGCACAATCCAAACAGTTGGATTAGTGCAGTAACCACTCGGATTGAACAGGGCAGTCTCTCGGCGGCCGTCAGACTTGCTTGTTTGCCCGCAGGCCTGGCGGAGAGCTCGCCTGAGACACTTGCTAAACTCAAAGCTATTCATCCCAGTGCTCCATTGAACAGGCGAGCTTTCCCCACGCAGGAGCCGTCCAATGGTCGCGTTTCACCAACCCAGGTGTCGACGGCTTTAAAGTCGTTTAATAATGGTTCATCGGGAGGCCTTGATGGCTTGAGGCCTCAGCACATAAAAGATTTACTTTCCGGTCCGACGCCCACCGATGAATTGTTAAATAACCTCACCCGGTTTGTAAATTTGTTGTTATCTGGGGTCTGCCCTCCCGCGGTTAGCCGTTTCTTTTTTGGGGGCCGTCTGGTGGCTTTAAACAAAAAAGATGGAGGGATCAGACCCATCGCGGTGGAGAATTTCTGGAGGAGGCTGGCCAGTAAGTGCGCTCTGGCGCTAGTGTTGGAATAGGTCAAAGCCAAACTCTATCCTATCCAATTGGGCGTCGGTGTGAAAGGTGGTGCTGAGGCGGCCGTCCACGCCGTACGTGAACTGATTTCAGCACTTCCAAAACGGTGGGGATTCTTGAAGATTGATTTCAAGAACGCTTTCAACACCCTGAGAAGAGACTCAATGTTAGAGGCAGTTAAGCAGCACTGTCCTCAAATTTATAATTTTTGTCATTCCGCATATGGCCGAGTCTCTTCTCTTGGTTACGACGCCTGGGTGGTTGAATCGTGCGAGGGCGTACAGCAAGGCGACCCTTTGGGACCGATGCTTTTTGCTCTAACCCTTCACCCGCTGTTGACGAAGTCATCCTCGGCGTTTGTTTGTGGCTACCTGAACGATGTCAGCTTGGCCGCAGAGGGTAACATCTTAGCGGACGACTTCCTGTGGCTGAGGGTAGGCGCTTCCATCATTGGTCTTGAATTAAACACAAACAAGTGTGAACTACATGTAAATGACACGTTTCAAATGCCACACGTGCTGGCTAATGTCCCCACAGTGCCCCATTCATCATTAAATTTTTTAGGCACTCCAATGATGGCCGGCGATCATCAGAACAGGTTTTTTAATAAAAAACTTCTTGAGCTAAGATTTGCCCTCGAACGTGTCTCTCTTCTCCCGGTCCACGACGCGCTGACAATCATCCGCGGCGTTTATGAATACATGCCAAACGGCGCATCATTTATACGAAGCGTGTGATAGCCGGGAATCTTTTCGTATTTATTTGTGAATATTCGAATCGAACCCGGTCACTTCCCACACTGCAAAACAGCACCTGGCGACCATATTAGGAAATCAGGAAAAAAAACCATCTGGAACTGTATCAAATCGACAGGCTTTCTTGGCAGACACAGGCAGACTTGTGTAGGATTCTTGATGTCGATGATGCCTAATTAATGTTCATTGCATAATGCCAATTAAACGAAAATAAATTTGTGGTGGTTGCTTTTGTTTCTAGAGTTTTGTGCGACAGATAAGTTAACATAGAAGCGAATTGATTGTCAAGTATGTCAGCATCAATGGGT